ATGCATTTCAGATGGAAAGTTCTGAGGCACATGTGGGAAACATCCTGGCAAAGCCAGGAAGGAACCAAGCTTCTCCCTGTCTCTCCCTAGTCCCTGACATCTGTCCTCTGGACCTAAGTCTTGCTCTCAAGACAGGAACCTTCTCAGGATTCCCAATAACTATTAGGAATTCTTTCAGGATCCAGATGGTCCAATCCTTTATCTCCCCCCCCCACAAACACCAAGGCTGGCTTGATGCTTGCACCATATCCTCATATCCTACTGCTTCTGCCTCTAATCAAGGTTACAGAGGTATAGTCTTTGCTGGGCTAACAGGGGTGCATCACCACATTCAGCTTGATCCTTCAATTTCTGATCCTCTGTGGAAACTGAGTCAGCTCCTGGCTTCTCTGTGCTACATATCACTAGATAATGCACAAGATTCTACATTTGGATTTGTTCCCTGACCCAGCCCTTGAGGTCTGCGCTGGGTCAGATACCTCCCTGATAATGCCTCAGTCCTTAAATGCCTAGGCTGGGTTTCTGGCAGCTGGCAGGCTCCAGCCCAGATTGTATGAGATTCAGGATACAGAGAGGCCAAAGAAACAGAAAGGACCAAAGCAGGGCAAAGGGTTGAAGAACAGGAGGCTGAGATGAGGAGACTGGCCCCTGAACCAAGGATCAGAATATATGTGATGGACAAAGGCGCCCTCTGGAGTTACCTAGAGCAAGGAAAATCTGTTCCCTTGGGAGGATATCCCTGAGGATGGTGTGGAAGACTGGTTGGGGTAGATAGGAAAGCAGAAAAAGAATCTCCGCCTCAGAAGAAAAAGAATGGCTGCCGCATCTTCTTGAGTAATTAAGAGCTTTTAAATGCCCCATGTTTCCCAGCAGGAACAACCTGGGCGAGGGAGGTGTGTAAGGGAGGGAAGTAAGTCTCTGTTGGCCACACCCCCCCATCCCATGCCTTTGATTCTCCTCCTAGGAGTCCCATAACTGGCCCTGCTTATCCAAGGAAGGTGACAGTTGCCCTAGCAAACACTCCCGCCTATTTCTCAAAGCATAGGGGCAAGCCTTCTGAGGGGCACAGCATTCCACAGGATTCTCCTTCCAGAGTTGGTCACGGCAAAGGCAAGTCAGACAAACAGCCCCCTCCTCATAGCCAGACGAACCCACATATCTTTGAGGATCCACAGGCGCTGGAGAAAGGAAGGGGCGTACGTGCCTCCCGAAGGTATGCTGCCCCTGGCCATCCAGGCACTCGTGGGTCACTGCCAGGACTACGTGCGCCTGGAGTGTTTTGAGTTCCCCAAGAGGGGCGGTCTTTAGACTGGGCGGGGGATAATCGGTCCGCCCTAACATCAGGCTGGGAGGTGGGGCAGCTTCTTTGCCTCAAAGGTCCCGCCTTGTCCAGCTGTCTCCTCGCGCTTAGCTGGCGAAGCACTCCACTGTGAGGCGGAGGTCCCAACTCCAGGGCCAGAAGCCGTGAGCCCGGACGGTACCACCGCTCAAGGGAAAGGGGACATGCCTTGGACTGTACCAACGGTCAGCCACCGTCCGGCGAGGTTGTCCCGCAAGCCACGCCCAGCAGGTGGCGGCCCCTCCCCAAGCCGACGTGCAGAAAGGAACGCGCCGGCCTCGCCCGCGAAGGGTTGCGCGGCGGCAGGCGGGGCGTGCTGCCTCCCCCTTGTGCTCACTGGCTGCAGTCCTGCAGGGTGGGCCCTACTCGACCTGCCATTGGCTGCGGGACATAAATTTGCATACGGGGCGGGGTAACTGGGCCCGATTGGGGCCAGCCTTGGGTGTGAGAGTGGTCACAGCCGCCACTGAAGTTGATTCAAGAGCTGGCGATGGCCCCGTGCCTGGCTCACAGGTGAAACAAGAGGGTTACAAGGTTGGCGGATGGGGCAGCATCTTCGAGGCTGCCCCTCTCAGGGGGCTATGGGGATTGGGCAGGACAAGAGAGGAGTGGCTCTGTTGTCTAAGTTGGAGGGGACGGGGGCGGGGACGTCGAGGGCGACCCCTCCACTTGCCTGCCAGCCAGGGCAGTCCTTCCAGGCTCAGGACAGCCACTGCCCACCGCACACTGCGTTGCTCCAGACCCACTGTGCGTGTGACAGCGGCTGATCTGTCCCTGGGCAGCGCGAATTCCTGGCCCTTCAGTGACCCAGGTCGGCAGCAGGCGCCACTGTGGGGAGGAGAGGTGGGGTAGCAGGCCACTAGGAGAGGATTGTACCTACAGACAGGCCTGCATGTGGAATCCCAGCTAAGATAGGTTGGGCTGGGGTTAAACTGGGGGCTTCTCTGCCCTTCATTTGTGGGACTGAGGTTGGGTCAGGTATCCTCTTGGAGGAAACTTTCTTCTTATGTGTATTAGGGTTCGAGGCTGTGCAGTCCCTAGAACAGCCACTGTCGAAGTCATTCAAGGCATCTCTGGGCAGGCACAGGTGTGAACTTCACCTAATCCTACAAGACCCACCTCCCAAGAGCCACCTCTGGACAAGTCTTGAGTGCTCCTGCCTGTTTCTGCCACTTCAGCGATGAGGGGAGTCAGTACCACGGATCTCTTTGTGGACTCTAGGACAAGCCTCCCCCATGGACACTCCTGCTAAGTGTTCTCAAGTCCATCTGAAAGTGGAAAAGGATATCCAGGAAAGCTACAGGCTACAGGGCTAGGCCATTTGTAGCAGGTCTGATCCCTGGAGATGGAGGGGCTTAGTCCAGACCTCTCCAGACTGACACTAGCCTCTGAAGGGGGTCCTATTTTGTCACCACAGTGTTATCAAACTCAGAGTGTTCTGCAGATGAGGGGAGGTTTGTGTGGCTTCTGGGTTGAGAAACTTCAAAGCTGACTCTCATTGCTGGACAGCTACTTACTGGGGAGAGTCTCTGAACTAGGCTTTTATCCGCCTCTGTACTGTAAATGGGCAAGGCCACTGAGACTGGAGACCCAGCAGAGTTTAGCCCTGACTTCTGGTTGGATTGCTCAGATAAGGAGACTGCCTACCCCACACTGATAGCTGATAAGGTCCTAACTTCACTCATGTAGGATGGCTCACTTGGCCAGGTCTTGCCCTGTCAGGGACCAGACATTTGTGGGCGGGCAGCTTGTCTGTTCCTCACTTCGACATACCTCACACTATTGTTTCCAAAGTAAAGTTGCAAGTTCCAAAATAAACTTTCCATTAACTCAAGAGTTATGTTTGGTGGTTCAAAGCACTCTAGCAACTGTTTGGAGTATGGGAGTCTGTCCACTTGAAACAGTCACCGAGAAGGGAATCTCTACCAGCCTTCCCCCTCAAAGCACAGTGGCCACCTGAAGGAGGCTTGGTAGCTTCTTTAGTGCCACTGGCAACAGCGTACTACAGACTGGACCTGGCCTAGGCAGGGGCTTCAGGAGAAACAGGTGCTCCTCAGGACACAGGGAACATGTGAAAGACTCAAATGAAGAGGCTGTAGCTTACCCGTCTAGCTTCCTGTGTGAAGTGGTCTCTGGGTAGGACCTGGCACCACAGCCACTGGACTATGTGCTTACACTGGGAGATGAACCATGATAAGCTTAGGACCAGTGCCAAGAGGTCTATTCAACTCTCCTGAGTGTGGGTAAGGCTTTAAGTGAGGGGGGAGCAGGTCCCTCAGACCACCTTCTCACCAAAGACACAGCCCTAGTGGCTTTTGCATTCTAGGATCCACTCTATGTGACCTTTTGCTTGGCCCTGCCTGCCTGGGGCCACAGGTCAGGCAGGTCTAGGCTGTAGCAGGCTTAGGCTGGAATGCAGGCAGGAATAGTCTGCTGGAAGTTCTGGCCTACTGGCACCAATCAGGAACCTCCCTCCCTCTGTTGCCTGGTGCCTGGCCTCTCCTTCTCCGTTTCCTCCTTCAGGCAAGAATATGGTCTGTTCTGCAGTGGTGGTGCACACCTTTAATCCCAGCACTTGGAAAGCAGAGGCAGGCAGATCTCTGAGTTTAAGGCCAGCCTGGTCTATAGAGTGAGTTATGGGACAGCCAATGCTATATACAAAGAAACCCTGTCTTCAAAAACAAAACAAAACAAAAGAATATGGTCTTCCTTGTTCCTCCAGCACAGGATTTCCATGTCCCCTTTCAGTCTGACTCAGAAAAAATAGGGCACACTAAACCTAGCTCAGGAGAGAGCAGGAAAGAAAGCTGAGCCCATTCCAATGTCCTCTTAATATGGTATAAACACTCTCATTATCTGCTGGGCAGTGGTGGCCCACACCTTTACCCCCAGTACCCGGAAGGCAGGCGGATTTCTGTGAGTTCGAGGCCAGCCTGGTCTACAAAGTGAGTTCCAGCACAGCCAGGGCTGTTACACAGAGAAACCCTGCCTCAAAAACAACCAAAGACCTTCATAATCTCCCAATTCTACCCAGAGTGCTTGTCCTCATAAAGATTTCCAGCCCCAGGAGCTCAGAACATGTGGCCTACCTGCATAACCAGGATTTTAGAAGTGATCACTATCTGCTCAAGAGCCAGAATAGTAGCTGGGCTGGGCTGTGAAAACATCCTGGCCCCAATGTCAAAGCTGGAGGCTCATCAACAGGCTTCACACCTACCCTAGGAGGAGAGGGACAGCCCCTACCATTCAATGCCCATACCTACCTTGGGGCTGGCAAAGACTTCTAGGGAAAACTCCCTGGGCCTGGCCAACCCAGAAGTCACAGACTTGACCCAGGAGTCCAGGACTCGCCCCCACAAGTTCTCAGCAAACCTGACGGGCGGGTCTAGCTTGTCCTGACATCCTCAGTTCCTGCTGCTGGTAGCACACAGGCCAAACAAGGAAAGCCAGGGAAGAAGGGTTGAGCTGCCAGGCCTCACCAGGCTAGGGATTGGTTACAAATAAATATACTCCTAGGAATGTCAGAACATGGGCCCTGGGACCCTATTGAATACTGGCCTCTAAAAACACTTTCTCAGGAATCCAGCAGTAGATGCCGTGTGGATCTCAAGTTCTAAACTGCAGACACTGCTCGGTGGTACAACTTCAGAACATACTTAAGCACCTTTGAAAGGTAGTTTATTGAGGTTTGTCAGGGCAAAGAAGGCAGCACATGTCCAGTGGCATCAGCGGCAGGCACACACCCACAGAATGAAAGTACTGTCCACACTTCTCTCCCCTCCAGTAAGTAGTGGCCTTGAAACTGTGCTCACTGCTTCTTCAGGGGACTTGGAAGACTTGAAAAGACTAGGACAACGTGTTCTCTAGCACTCCCGCCCCTGAAGCAGAGACCCCAGGCCATAGCTTTCCCGACTTTAGGGAAAGAACCCTGTGATCACACTCTCCCATTGTCCAGGTGGCTCATTCCAGCTGTGCTGGCTCATCTGTACTCTTACTCTGTATCTCCTACTTGAGCAGGAACTGCTACCTCCAGGGGCTCTGCCTCATGGGGGGAACTGTGAGAAAGAGACAGGCTGAATGGGCTGAAACCAGAGCCAGGCCCTTCCCACAGATCAGGGCTAGGGGTAGGGAGAGAAACATACCCTCAGGACTCAGGCTGGACACTAGGACATGGCTCTGGGGGACTCCCCGGAGGGGCTCATCACTGGTTGGAAGGTCCTGTGGGGGAAAACAGGTCAATTGAGAACAGGTGGCCCCCGTCTGACCATCACCTCTTCCCAGAACTACTCTGACCTGTGGGCTGGGGATGCTTCTGTCCAGCTGTGAAGGTGGCGGCACTGCGGCACCTGTCTGCTGGATGAACTGTTGCAGGTTGCACTGACGGAGTTCCCTGTTCAGCTCCTCCAGCTCCTGAGTCTGTGCCTGGGGGCACACAGGACCTTCAGGAACAAGGCCATGACCTTCTTTCCCACAGTCAACATGCTCCTTAGTCTGATTCTATATCAAATCCCCAAAGTGTCCATGCAGCAGGTGGAGTGCTGACAGACTGGCTGTGTAGCAGGCAGGGAGTTGACAGGGGCCTAGATCTCCTGGACTCACCTGTAGAGCATGCTCAGCAGCCTCCAGAGCCCGGCTCACCAGGGCCAAGGTGCCTTGCATCTCCATACTATGCCGCTCCTGGATGGCCAGGTCCTGGCGTAGGCGCTCAGTAGCAGATGCTGTAGCTGAAGGAGGGCCAGGGGCCTCAGCAGCCAGCCGAAGTTCTGCCTCCAGGGCACAGGCTTGGGCATCTAGGGCCTCCAGCCGGGCAGCATGCTCAGCAGTAGCTGCACTCAGTGCTTGCAGGCGTGCCTGTCCCTCACGCTCCCTGGCTTGTTCTCGTCGTAGCTCCTGCTCCCAGAAGGCCTCATGGCCCAACTCCTCAGCATTCCTCTGTATCCTGAGTTCTAGGCCCTGCAGATCTGCAAAGCAGTCTGGTGTGGATCCTACTAGGGCTGTAGGCTCAGAGATGGAGGAGTTGGGGGCCAGCTTGGGACATCCTGGGGTGAAGGCCAGTGCTGTGTGTGGTTCACGGCCTGGTGCTGCCCACGACTTTGGGGGGAGGCTGGCCCTAACTGGGCATCGTTCTGGGGGTGGACAGTTGTCTGAAGAGGGCCTTCCAGACAGGCTGGGCCCCGTCCGCCTCAGGACAAATTGGACATCACTGGCAAATTGTCCACAGGTGGCTTGGGCTCCCACTGGACACTCCTGTGGCAGCAGCTGCCGTTCCTTCTCCCTAAGACGCTGTACAAGGACAAAGCGGCCTGTCTGGCCTGTGGAGGGAAATACAGGGTCAGCCTATATCCCCCATCTCTATCCACTTCGCTTGAGGACTAGAGCAATAAAAGGGTGAAGCCAACCCCACCCTCCTTGGGAGGGAAGATGGGGATGGACTACAGTCCCTCCTGTTTAGTCTCTCTGTCCCCAGGGAACTCACCTATAGCTTGGGCTAGCGCGATGACCACTTCTTGGCAGGTGGTCTGTTCTGAGACCCCACAGACCACCCGCTGGATGCCATCTACCCATACCTTCAGCTCCATGACCACAAGCTCCAAGACCATCCCTGTCCTGTGGGGAGGACACAGGCCATAAGATCAGGCCAGGCCTGCCTCCATCATAGCCTGGCCTTCCTCTTCTCTTGGCTTGCCACAACAACTGGCTCAGGGCTGTGGCCCTTAAGCCCTGCCCTCCTGTGCCCAGCCCCACCCGCAGGCCACACATTCCTGGAGGGGCTGGGGAACTAGTTTGGCCCTCTTGAGCATTTTGAGGCATCCCCTCCTGCACCAGCCTCCTCTTGCCCCACCCACCCTACTCCAGGAACAGGGAGAATCATTAACCAGGTCCAGGTTTTCCTGTCCCCCGGTCACCTGGCTCAAAGGCTACTACCCTTTTCACGCGGGCGCCCGTCCCCAGGCACCTAACACCTACCGTACGCAAATACAACGCCGTCCACAGTCATGGGAACGCCCCCCCACCCCCAGGGAAGGAACAGTCTTGGACCGGGAGGAGCTGAGAGTCAAGACCCAGACAGACCTCCATCTCCCAACCGACCCCAGATCTGAAGAGCCCCTCGCCAGTCCCCAGTCTGCCTCCGCAGTCCCTCCCGTCAAGCCAGCGCTCCGGGCTCCGGTGGTCCCGCCCCACTTGGGGGCACAGCCCGCCTCACGGCTGATCCCGGCCGCGCGGGATCCAGAAGTCCCACTCCGCAGCCGGCAGTCGCAGGTGCAGCAAAGCCACCGCGCGTCCCTTCGCCCGGATCAGCGTCTCCTCGGTCGGAGAAGGCTCCCTGGTGCCGCGCCCAGTGCTCAGGAGGCGCAAGAACCCGGCACAGCTCACCTGGGCGCCGGGAGGCCTCCGGGACTTAGGCGCTTGAGCGCCGCCTCAACCTGCAGTCCCAGCGCCGCGGCGCGCCCAACCTCACGGCCTCATTGGCTCGCGGCCCGCACGTCCCGCCCCACGGCACCCTATTAGATCGGAAGCGCGTGCCTCCCGCCCCATGCCTACTGCCATTGGCGGCCTTCCTCCCACCACGCCCCATTGGCTCGTTAATCCGTCCCGCCCCGGAGGCATCCAGGTATAGGAGGGGCCCTGATTGGGTAGGGGCAGGACCCGGGCGCCTAAGATGCTCATTGCTGATGATCAACACGGAAGCGCGTCTGCAGCTGCGTTCGCTCTGGGCTGGTTTGCCCAGGTGAGATGTGTTCCCAGCTCCAGAACGGACTTCCTCATTAGACTTTCTGTGTGACTGGTCTCCGCCCACCGAGAGGCTCCTGACTGGAACCTTGCGACTCTGACTTGTCCCTGGGCGCATCATCCGCCCTCCCTTCATCATCCCCGTACGTTAGGCCTCTTCAGTTCTGCTCCCTTAGCAATCTGTAGCCGAGAACACCAGAAAGAGAGGCCATGAGTGTCTCCCGCCTCGCAATCCGACGGAGGTGGAGTTTAGGGACCGGCTGACCTGGTGGGCGCTGCAGCCCTGGTGGGGGAGGGGACGTCCCTGAAGCCTGGACAAAGACCCTGGGGTCTTTGTTTGAAGCTCCTTACTCTCCCCTCCCCCAAAGGGTCCCGTACCCTCTCTCCCTGAAGTGGGCCCCTGCTTTAACGTCTTCCCTGTGTCTCGGCGGGCTAAATCAAGCCAGTCCAGCCCCATGTGGTCTGTCCCAATCACAGAGAGCTGAGGGAACTGGTTCTCATGCCCTTGTGGACGAGACAAGGGGAGAAGGAGCCTCTCCTGGGCCTCACATGTTCTGAAGGAGAAGCAATGTCCCCCAGGGTTCCTTAGTGGAACCACCATTGGAGCCCAGATGTGTGGAGATAGGTACAAGAAGATAGTCTTCCAAGGGTTAGGTAGATGGCTATCAGACACAGGCTCATTTATTGACTAGAGTTAGCACGGCCACTCCAGTCTATTATCACCATGCTCACCTGCTCCATTAATCAGCTCAGATCCCTGGGACCTTTTACATACTTAAGACACACATACATACTGAATTCACTCACAGGACACCATTCCCCAGTACCTGCCTATCACTACTAGCTAGGAACAGGCTCCAGGGGTCTGTATAGTTCCCTGGATCTCCTCAGCTTAGCTGGGCAGGTAGTAACCTAGCTTACATATCTAAACCACCCTGGCACAGAATGCACTCATGGCTCTGGGCTTCATCTCCCAGGAGGCTCCTGGTAACAGATACCCTTCCCCCCCACCCCCAGGTGCAGAAATCCATGGCAACAGTATAGAACACTTCCCTCCCTAGGCCTTCTGTGGGTTTAGGCCTCAGGTGAGTGTGGGGGTGAGTTCCTGGGTTGGAGGGATATGAATATGAGCTACAGGCAAAAGTTTAGCACCTCTGATCTTAGGCTCTAGGCTCAGGTCATGAGGGACAAAGAGAAGACAGCAGGGAATGTATGTACATACTGGGGACATGCTTCCTGGGAGGTGACCTGTCCTAGCCTGAGATATACACTCATTTTGGGTAGACACATGTGTAGGCCTCCTCAGAGAGAACTAACAAGTGCTGTCTGGGCCTCTTAGACACACAAAGAGAGCCCCATGAGGGTCCCACACCTGGGGCACAGGGCAAACTGCATTCTACCTCCTCTCTTCCCAGCTCCTGACGAACATCGAGCATGGCCCCTAAGTCTTGCCAGGAGTCTGAAGATGAACAGGTGTGCACAGCTCCAGCAGGTGTAAAGCCAGACAGCAGTGGCTTAGAGTCCCCAGGTGGCACACCTCTGGACATAGTAGCTCCTTCGTGTTCTCAGAGCAGTAAGCCCTACTGCGCATCCACACCAGGGGTCTGCTCTGCCAAGCAGCAGTAAGGAGGCAGGGGATGGGGCAGCCTCCTGGGTTGGGCCAGCCAAAGAGCCTGGCCTGATCAAACCACAAGGGACTGGAATTGCAGGTTATCCCCTGAAACCCTGGACCCACGTACCCTGAGGCTCTTATGGGAACAGAGAGAACTAGAGATCCAGGCACTTCGGTGGGCTGTCCAGAATGGCCAGAATACCCGATACTACCATATCCTGCAAGAGGTGGCAGGGATCCCCCCTGAGCGGTCAGTGACAAAATCCCCAGCCCAACCCAGGTCCTCCCCAGCCCAACCCAGGTCCTACCCTGCTGTAGCTCCTAGTTTCTTTCTGACAGCAATCTCAAATACTGAACCCTGACTGCTTCTAACTTTAGTCCTTGCACAACTTGACACTCCACTATACTTTTAAATAAGTTACTGTGCTGGAAATGTAACCCTATCCCTGAGGATGTAGACCTCTGCCCAGACCTGCTAAGGTTTACTTTGCCCTGGCCTGCTGTAATGTGTGCCTTCAGGCTTTGATGGCCATGGGGCGTCCTTTACTGCTGGCCTACTCTTAGGAATCCTGGTCTGATCCAGAAGTGCTGAGATTGCTCCTCCTACCAGGAACTCCAAAAGTCAAGACAAATTCCTGCAGAACCAGGTCCAGAAGCTTACGCTAGAGCTGAAGGCACAGAAGGAACAAGCTCAACTGGTGAGGGGGTGGGATCAGGGAACAGGGCAATGCCTTGGCAGGCAGTAGCTACCCACCTAAGGCAGGTCTGAAAGGTGGGGCTGCCGGAGGCCTCTTTCACTGGCAGGCACTCTTGATCAGGAGAAAGAATGCTTGGAGGAGAAACTGCGGCAGAACATCTGTGCAATTCAGCAGCTGGAAGCTGAGCTGCAGACCTTCCAGAAATCGTGTCTTCTACAGCTGGCCCGTTCCTCTTGGGTGGGACGCATGCTTCGGTCTCAGACTGGCAGTGTGGAGGTGAGTTTGTGCCTCTGGTTTGATACCTGCCAAGCACCACCCCCAAACACTCCTTGGGCAGCCAGCATGCTCCTTGAGGGATCCTGGCCTGCTTGAGAAACCTTGTCTCCCTTGAGATGCTTCCACAAGAAAGAATCATAAGACCAACATCCTTCTCATCTTGTTCTCACAAAGTACTCTTAAGGTCAAAAGTTCGAGGCCCTGCCAGGTGGTGATGGCACATGCCTTTGATCCCAGCTCTTGGGAGGCAGAGGTAGGAGGATCTCTGTGAGTTCCAGGCCGGCCTGGTCTACAAAGTAAGTTCCAGGACAGGCTCCAAAGCTACAGAGAAACCCTGTCTGGAAAAACAAAACCAACCAACCAAACAAAAAAAGTTGAGAGGCTCTATGGGGGAAGGGTGTCCTCTCTCAAGCTCCCTACCTTCTAGTCTATGGTTCCTTTTTTTTTTTTTTTTTTTCTTCAAGACAGGGTTTCTCTGTGTAGCTTTGTAGACCAGGCTGCTGGCCTCGAACTCACAGAGATCTGCCTGCCTCTGCCTTCTGAGTAGTGGGACTAAAGGCATGTGCCACCACTGCCAGGCGTCTATGGTTCCTTCTTGCAGGTAGTCACTGCAGAGGTTCTACAGGACCCTACTGATTCTTCTGAGTATGCTGAGGTTCCCACTGCTGGGGAGGTGAGAAAGGCTTGCCACAGGAGGCCTTTGAAGCTCTGCAAGGTGGGGGACCCACATACCTCTTATTTCCTGCCAGGGTTTCCGGTTGGAGGATGTAGACTGGAACAGCATTGCCCACCGATATCCCAACCTCTTCTCCACCATGAGTTTCCACTCAGATCAAAAGTAACTGCATCAGACAGGGAGTCCCCAGGGGTCAGGGGAAGGGAGGACTTGGTCTGACAGAAATGGACCAGTTCCCATTGTGTCTTTAAAAGTCATAGAACCCCTTCAATCCTCAGCTCTGATATGTAATATGTGGAATGGGTTCAAGATAAGGGGAGGAGCTCCAAGGTCAGCATTAAGTCCATTAATTTAACATGAGCTGCTTCTGACTCTTGAGTTCCTAAAACACAAACCATTGCCTTGGGGAGGCTGGCTGGGGTGGGGTCCATGCATGGGTCCTGGGTTTAGGAGCCAAAGCAGCCAGTGAACATATCCTGGTCCCAGGCTGCCCCAGCCCTACCAGTCCTCCGAAATGGATACCTGGGACTCAGAGTGCGCCCTCAAGCATGTGGAGAAGCCTAGCAAAATCGTGGAGTGGAGCGCCTTGCCTTTGGCAGACACCAGCAGCTCAGAAGGTGCAGACTCTGACTCCGGCAGCTACCAGATAGTTCTGCATTCTGGAGCAAAGAAGGTGACAGGCCACCCACCCCAGGGAACAGACTTAACTTCTGAGCAGATGCAGGAATGCACTAGGAGCTTCAGTGGACACACAGAAGGTGGAGTTGTGTGCATCTCCTTTTTGCACTTTAGCAACCTCTCACCTCCACCCAAAGTCCTACTTAGGTCCTTCAGCCCCCAGGGTTCGGCTGCTTCTGCCCGGGATCTGAACCCTGCTGTTGCTTCCCTATTATTCAGACTCCTCATTTGGCCTCCTAGGGAACTTCCATATTGGACTCTTTATTGTGTTCTCCCTCCCTTAAAGGACTTCTTTTTTCAGATCTCCATAAAAGCCGCTCACCTTCGGTTAGCAAGACTGTTCTGGAGCCCTGTATAGACCTTCACCATCAATATGCAAGGCCCCAATTGAAGTGAGGGCTGCCCAGCCATGAGCACACCAGAAAAAGCAGGGAGGGCTGCATGATGGATGGGCTTTCTGGGTGGATAGGGCCCCTCTTCCTTACTTAGTATCCCTTTCTGGCTCCAGCCCACTTGGCTGCTGCTTGAAGATCTCTGCGGTTAGCCACCGAGAGAAGTTCATCCGTATCCTCAACCAGTCTCAGGCAGAGACTGTCGACCTGGGTGGCTTTGTTCTGCAGCAGCTTGTGAGGGACTTCCCTGTGTGCATGTACCGCTTCCCACCTGGTACTCTGCTAGCACCACAGCATCATATCACAGTGAGCCCCGCCCTTTGCCAGCCCACATTGCCTTGCCCTGGCCTACACTGTTCCTCACTTAGCACCCAGCTTTTTTCTAGGTATGGGGTGAAGGAACCAGCAAGACCAAGAAGCAGCTGCCAGTGGCCTTGGGCCAGGACCCCTTCCATTTCCAATCCAGCCGAGGTTGTGTGACAGTGCTAGTCAACCCCCACGGCCAGGTCAGCGCTGATCCCAGCCAAGGAGCAGAGGGGCCAGCCTCCTGGGATCAGAGTAAGTGATGCACCCTGATGGCCCTGCAGGTCCTCAGTGAGCATCAAGCTGCACCCTGTGTGACCCTGGGCTCAAAGATCTTCACTGACAACACTGACTGGTCCATTGACCGCTTCCCGCTCTCAGAGTCCGAGCCCAATGCTGGCTCTGGTGAAGAGCAGCAGCAGCAGCAGCAGCAGCAGCAGCAGCAGCGGCGGCATCGGCCTTCATCCCCACACAAGGGCAGGGTGCAGGATGCTAGGGCCAAGCGCAAGAAGCCAGGGTAGGTGTGAGCCCCTGATTCTGCCTAGCAAAACCTGCCACCTATTTCCCTTGGTGTCGCCTTGGACGAGACTGCTACACTGGCCATAGTATCTTGTATTACCCCTACCTTTGCCCTGAATTGACTAAGATACTCCTCAGGTCCCTCCCACATCTCTAGGCCAGGTGTTCACCAGCAACGCACTAGCGGACTGAGGACTTCAGGATCTCTTCGCCCCCACGAGACCCGGAATATCTTGCCACTCCTGAGCAACCGCAAGCTTCTTCTCCCCGGGGAAGTTCCTGCACAGCAGGAAGGCATGAAAACTGAGACATTGGAGCTCTTGCCTGCAATCCCAGAATGTTCCTCGAGAGTATGCCTCGAGGACTCACAGGGTAGGCAGGAACGCAAAGTCCAGGTGAGTGTGATACTGTCACCCCAGGTTCTCTGGTCTGCCATTCCACACAGCTCTTAGGCCCCAGTGTTTTCTGCAGGTGTGTCGGAAAAGTGTGGACCTGAGTTGCCCCATGGTGGCCCTGTCAGTACAGAGCACAGCCGAGAGCAGATATGGCTTCCGCTTCCTCTGCTACCCTCCCATCACTGAGGAATTGTGCCGGCGGTTATAGGGCAGCCAGGTCAGGCAGGCAGTGCCAGCTGCATAATTTATTGAACCAACCATTGCTTACAAAGTAAAGCACATTTCTGCACTCCTGAGAGTCGAAAATGATTCACTTGGCTTTTACAGAGGGGACATGGTGTCCAAGAGAAAAGAACTGCCCGCACATAGGGAAACCTGCTAATCCACCCAGGATGGCTATGCCTTTTAAGGCTTAGGACAAACAGGCTTAGAACTTGGGCCACATAGGTGACCCAGAGTCTTGGGGCAGAGCCCAGCTCCAGTTCCAGTCACTTAAGCCTTGGCTGCATCCAAGCCAAAAGATCTCAACAAGAAAGGGTTACATTAAGGGAGTGAATGGGCTGGAGGGATAGGGTTCAAGTGATGGAGGCAGTGGATGCCTGGAGGGCAAGCTGCTGGACCTAGTTCTGGATTTGATTCTGGACACCCATGGACTTGATGACTGGGACCTGAGGATACCTCCAGGGCTCTCAGGGCAGTCACTGCAGCCAATCTCTCACCCAGGCCAGACCCCTCACCCAGGCTAGACCCCAAACTACCCAGGACTCTAAACCTACGCCCTCTGAAGGGCAGGTCTGCAGATCTCCCTGAGGATCTGCTGCCTGACTCAAGTGGCATTGGGTACTTTGGGGGAGAAGGGATCAGGTGAAAGCCTGATGTCCTGGAAAGTTCTGGAAAACAAGGAAGAAAACAGCATGTCAGAGAGGACCTGGCAGACAAGGTAGGGGAGTGTTAGTTGCAGCCTGGAGATGGTGGCAGGCTAGGGGTAGTGTAACCACAGGCTAGGGGTAGAGAGGGTTTCAGTGTCCTTTGTGGAACCTACAGACGGAAGCATTCCTGCCCCACTAGGCCATATCCCTTTGCTCTGCACCATCTGCTTTCCAGGGAAAATGTGGCTTCAGCCCTGTGGCTATCTTAAGAGCAGTGGTTCTCAACCTGAGGGTCACCATCCCCACAGGGGTCACATTATCAGACATCCTGCATATCAGATATTTACAGTATGATTCATAACAGTAGCAAAATTATAGTTAAAATAATTTTATGGTTGGGGTCACCACAACATGAGGAACTGTACAGGGTCACAGCATTAGGAAGGTTGAAAACCACTGCTCTAAGGCAAACAAAGTGGCTGGGTTCTAGCTCTGGGTCATCTGAGCTCCATCCTTATGTGTGTGCTCATCCCTGAGGGCCTGGTGGCTCTAGGTCAGTCCTAGAGCCAGTTCTATATTAGTATGTGGTGGGTGGATAGGGTTATCCAGTGCCTTCTAGGCCTGACATCTGTCGCAAGAGGGCTAGACACCACTCCAGTCAGCCCTTCTGGTCACCTTTCTACTATCCTTAACCTGTGTAGTTGTCTTCTGGGGGACCAGCTGTTGACCCTGCTTTACTCTCAGGGCTCTCTTTCTGCCTGCTGCCCCAAGCACCAACTAATCTCCAGAGGGCCAAAAGTGTGGTTATTTGGTCCCTCAGAGATGGTTGTTGACTGACACCTTTATACCTTCGTCTTTTTGTCCATGCTCATAGTGTGCCTTTCTAAGGCATTGCTGGGTAAGGGTCTTTCCTCTGAAGCAGCAGTCACTCTGGCTCCCTTGGAAAGCATTCTGCCTGGCTTAATTCTGCACCCCTATACCTGCACAGGTCAGTCCCACCTGGGTTGAAGCCACTGGATGTTCCTAACTCTCTCTGCCTTAGTCTCCTGGTGGTTTTTGTTGGTCACTTTCCCACCCCCTGGTTTCATACCAGTTTCTCCTGAGGACTGGTGTCTCCTTCTGGAAACCCTTGGCCACCATGAGGCTCCCAACAGGTGCTTGCCTCTGGACTTGCCCTGTATCCTTTTGTGGAATGTCTCCCTGTCTCACAGAGCCCAGGTGCTCTTGAGGTGTCATGGTATGGAGGAGGAGCTAGGATTGACCCTCCCTGGGTCAATACACCCACCCCTACTCCACCCAGAAGGGGAGGATGGCCTCATGCAGCCCCTCTCCCACTCCCAGAGCCTGGCAAGGGAAGAGGCTGAACTATATTATGCTGGCCTGAGTTGGGGACAGCCATACCCAAGTGGGGGGTCAAGTTACTCTCAGACACCAAGGTAGTACCTGAGGCCAGGTGTGGGGGCGTTTGGGAAGTCTTGGGTCTAGTCTGGTCTTTCTGTTCTTCGGGAACCTTCTGTGGGTCCTGAGCTGGAGCCTGAGCAAGCCTTTCCTGCTGGAACTCCAGCTGCCTCTGGAGGAGGGGACTGAGGTGGGAGAAGGCAGAACTGCAACCATGTCTGTCTCCTACTCAGTCCCAGTGGCCATCATACTGGAATGGATCACTGGCCTGTGGCTCCTTTGACCATCTTGGGGGACCAATGACTGCGCAACCAAGGCAGCTTCCATCCCAACGCTCTCCCCCCACCCCAACCAGGACAGGACAAAAGGTGGTAGGGCTGGCTGGCAGGGAAAGGGACACTAACCAAAGGCCAGGGTCCCTCCAGGCCGGAAGCCTAGTCATGTCCAGGTCACAGCTTTCTGCAGGATCAGGCCTTAGGGTGGAGGGGCTGGTGGCCAGCTCTGGCCTATGTGGGGGCAGCTTTTCCAGAGGTGCCCATTCCTAAGGAAGGGAAAGGGCTGGTATGGGGACCTTGACCCTGGAACGGGAGAGCCAGAACATGGACATGCCAGTAGTCCTAAACACTCATGTATGGTGAGAAAGCTCTGGGTGGTGGTCCAATTCAGGGGAAGGACTCTGGATAATGGTTTACTGTGGAGTGAGGGCAATAGGTGATGGTCTACTTTGGGAAGGAGGTCTGTAGTCATAGCCCACTTGGGAGTGTAGGGAAGGCATACCTGATTCTGGTATCTACGTTCCCGAAGGCCTTTGGTGGGGTTCCCACAGAGAACTTGACCAGCACCTGAGGAAGAGGGTGTGGCTATGCCTGCTTTTGGGTCAAAGTACTGCAGGGTCAGCTCTGGGCCAAATAGGTTTAGTTACCATGGGTGAGGTTGCTGGCATGGTCTTCTGTGGCTGGGTTTTCAGAAAGCAGACCTTCAGGCAAGGGGCCCCCAGGAACCAGCAAGGATAGAGCCCATGGCTGGGTCTCAGGCACAGACAAGGTTGGGTCAAGTTTCTGTATGGTGGTTCCATAGGAACAATCTGTCCAGGGTCAGATCCAGAGATCACTGGGTTTATGCTAGACAGCATATTTCAAACTCAGAGCACAGCCTGCCACTCAAGAAGCTGTGTGACCTAGGGACTGGCCTGTGATAGTTTCTTTCCCTTCCTGAAAGACTTCAGCCTCAGACCCTCCTCTCTCTCAACATGGGAAAGGGGGAGCCAGCTGGTACTGCTAATGGGAGGAATCCTGATTGGGGGGGCACTCAATCTGCATGGCTCTGGGGACTAGGAGATAAGGCTAGGAAAGGGAACAAAATGCAGTCATCACCCATCTCTGCAAGGCCTGGGGAGCTAGTGGAGGCCTTTTTTTCCTGAGGTTGAAGGAAGCCTGTCCTCTTGGGGTACTGGTAGAGGCCTGCTTCCTCGAGGGTTGAAGGAGGTCCCTTCTGGAGTCAGGGGTTGGGGCATGGTATCAAGATCCACAGTAAGTGTCTGGCCTACCCAGCCGAGGGAGGAGAATGTCAAGCACGCTGCCTTCCTTGATGGCCTCCTTCACCATCAGCCAGTCCTGGTTCAGCTTCTGGGGAGCAGGCAGGTTGGTGCATGTGGTGGGTACCTCATCTAGGATGTGGAGCTGGGGGACAAGCTTCTTTACCTCTGCCCTATAGTTGTAGTCCTGGGGTGCCTAAAGGGTAGAGGGAAGGGGATAGCAGACCTGGGTCTGGTGGACCCTGCAAGCCAGCTGTTTACTGGGACTCCCTCTTCCAGACTGCTATGGTGCAGGACAGAGGAGATAGGGTAGTGATACTGCCTCATCCTGCTGGAGCATACAGGTACCCTCACCCTCCACACCCAGAGCCAAGGTTCAGGGATGCCCTCTAGCACGTGTAACTGATTATGGGGCTACACTAAGCAGCAGCTATTGAGTTGGACACTGTGCTCAGAGCATGCATGGCCTTTGTGGGGTGCATATGGATTTACCTGCTGCAGAGGAGCTTGTATATGCCTGATATATCCAAATAGTTAGGCGGTTTAGGCCTCCAGTGACAGAAGAGATAGTTCTCATTGAGAACAAGCCAGAAGGGACATGTGGACAGGAGGTACTCATTCTGGGGTGGAGGTGTCCCTCTCAAATATATGCTGACTGGGTGTTCAGCACCCATACCTTGTTGGAAGGGCCAGGGTCTGGCTTCAAGCACACCAGATTCCCCTCCAGTGTGAGCGTGGCCAACCTTGGGCACAGCTGCAGGTACCGCATCTGCCCTAGGTCTTCCACATCGTTGCCCTCAAGGTCTAGCACCTCCAGCTGCTCCAGCAGGCACAGTGGGCTCAGGTCTGAGATGTTGTTGTAGGAGACATAAAGTTCCTGAGGACCACATGGGAGAATCTCAGTTGGGGTCTGACTTGATCTCCATTCCTTGTCCCCGAGTGCTACAGACTTACCTTCAATGCCAAGAAGGAGCCAATGCCATCCAAGTCAGTCAGGCCACAGCGAGCCAGCCACAACACCTGCAGGTGGCCCAGAGAAGTGCCTAGGTCTCTGCAGAAGGCAGGCAGAGTGGTGGTATGGTTAATCTTCAGTGTTAACTTGACTGGATTTAGAATCACTTAGGAGACACATCTGGAGCATGTGTCTGTGAAGGCATTTCCAGAAAGGTTTAACTGAGGAGGGAAGAGCCACCCTGAGTGTGGGTGGCATCTTCTCATGGTCAGGGATCCTGAAGAAAATAAAATAGGGAAAAGGAGAAAGCCAGCTGGTTGCTGGCACCCCCACTTCTCTATTTTCTAATCTGCTCACATGTGAGCAAGCTTCCACCTCCACAGATATGAGCTGCTCCTGCTGCCATGCCTTCCCTGCCATGATGCTGCATCCCCTAAAGCATAAGCCAAATAACCCTCTCCTCTATTAAGTTGCTTCTTGCCAGGTATTTAGCCACAGCAGCAACAATAAAAAGTCACTACTGTAAGTGATCAGTAC